CCTGAGTCACCTGGCATGGGCCAGCTGTGGGTTTTTTAATGGCAGTGTAGAGATACTTTTGGTGTCTGTTCAGTACCTGTCACACTGGGGACCCTGATCTTGGTCAGTGTCTGTGTAGAGCCCTGCACAACAAGGGGCCTGATCTCAGCTGGGTTCTCCACAGTGCCCAGCACAAGGGTGCAGAACTCAGCTGGGGTCTCTGCAGCTCTAGGAACAACAAGGTACCTGATTTTGTTTCCAGTCTCTGCAACACCTGGCACAATGGGAGCCTGATTTCACTTTGTGTTGATGCAGGGCCTGGCACAACAGGGGCCCGCAGCTCAGTCAGAGTCACTGTAGCACCCGGCACAACAAGGTCCCTGCTCTCTGTAGGGTCTGTGCAGTTCCTGGCACAAGTAGTGCCCCAAACTTGGTCAGGGTTTGTGCAGTGCCGGGGACCTGATCTCAGGCAAGGCCTGTACCACGCTCAGTATGATAATAGCCCTGATCTCAGTCAGAAGATTTTCAACAATTTGATATCAGTAGTTCAGAACTGAGGAGAAAATGGGGCACAAACTAAATATTTACCAATATAAGAGAGAAGCACCAACATCTGGGGAGATTTTATGTCACCATTCCACAGTTCAAGACAAAAGAGGGGAAATTTGAGGGGAATATACAGAGATATTCAAACAACAACAACAGAATGGGACAGATTCTTCTTGCCTCACATTTACATGGCCAGCAGGGTGATGTCGCTTTCACAGGGGAAAGGAGTGGGCCTGGAGTCAGAAGGTCACTGGGTGTGGGGAGGGGCTGGCTATGGGGTCTGGGAATGTGACTAGTAGGCGATGGGGGGAGTGGGCTGCAGGGTTGGGCAGCATGGGGGGGGGAGTAGCTGGCACTGGGAAACCTGGGGCTGGGCTGTCTCCATGGGGGATGCTTGTTCCTCCCTTCCCTTCCTGGGCCTTTCCATGCCCTGTTGCCAGCAGAGCATGGCCCCCCAGCCCAGCCCAGAGGTATCCCTGTCTCAGGGCTCTCCCAGCCTCTGCCCATTAACTCTCTTCCCATTTCAGAAATCACTCAGGGGAACGATTTCCCACCTAAACAAGGACAAGTCACTGCAGGTAAAAATGGGGGGGGACGACACCCCAAACCTGAGATTTGAACTGGACATTGGCAAAGAGAAGAGAAAATGGGGCACAATTGGGGGAGGGGAACAGAGACCTTCTCAGGAATTTGAGGGAAGGGGGGGTCACCCTGGATGTTGCTCTCTAGAGCCCAACCTCCGCCCAGCCCTACGCAGGGACCCTAGTGGGGGCCGGGCCCCTCCCCCCCACGTGGTGCCCCAGGGCAGAGCCGGGCCGGGCCGGGGGCGTTGGGCTCCTGCGGGGACAGCAGCTCTGAGTCCCCCGCGGGCGCTGCCCCCAGGGAGCAGATCCCGGCGCTGCGAGATGCCGGGTCCCCCCCACGGACACTGGGGCAGAGTCACCGCCCGGCCCCGGGGCTCGCTCCGGTACCTGGAGGCTGCAGCTCCGCAGCGGGGCGGGCAGAGCCCGGGGCGGCTCCATCGGGAGCAGGGCGCGGCCGGGCACGGGGGGGGTTAATGGGTCTCCCCGGCACAGACCCTCCTGCTCAGCCCGGCCCCGCAGCGGCAGGGAGTAACAGCAGGTGAGCGCTGTCTCTACACATGCGGGACTCTGCTCATGCCCAGAGCCGGGAGACACAACGTCACTTCCACTCCTGGGGGAGTCAGGAACTACATCTCCCTGCCTGCCCCGGCGGCCTTTCCGCCCTCTTCAGCTCAGGTATGGGAGGGGGGGTCAGCAGCTGTTATTGCGCATGCTCCATGTAAGCTCGCTCGTTCTGCCCCCGCCCAATATCACTATCGCTGCTGTCTTCGTGTGATCCGGGCTTTGGCACAGACCAGACGCTGCTGCTGTCGCCATGTGATCCGAGGCCCGGGCTGAGCAGGTGCTGCTCCCCGGGGTCTGTGCTGGGCGGGATCCTGGCATTAATCTCTCCCTGCCCGGCCGTGGGGGGGAGGGGCGGCTTTCTCCAGCTCGGACCCGCCCCCTGGGCAGCCCAAGGCCGGAGCCCCCCGGTGAGTGAGAGACCCCGGGGGGGTGCTGGGTCCGGGCAGGAAAGTGACTCTCTGCCCTGGGGAACCTGGGAGAAGCCTCGGAGCTGCCTCAGCCCCAGTGGAGCTGCAGCAGGATCTGCCCCCGGCACCGCTGGGATTGGGCGGGGAGGCAGAGAGTGGGGCCCTGCGGGGGGTCCCCTGTGGGGTGGGGGTGTCGGACAGGGAGGGGAGAAGCCAGAGTTGTGGGGGGGGGGAAGGTCAGTGGGATGTTGGGGAGGGGGTTTGAACTGTCTCTGTACAGCCAGGAAATTCCCCGGGGGAGAGGTTTTTTCTCTCTGAGGGTCCTGTGGTACCTTTGAGACTAACAGAAGTATTGGAGCATAAGCTTTCGTGGGTAAGAACCTCACTTCTTCAGATGCACTTGCATCTGAAGAAGTGAGGTTCTTACCCACGAAAGCTTATGCTCCGCATCTGAAGAAGTGAGGTTCTTACCCACGAAAGCTTATGCTCCAATACTTCTGTTAGTCTCAAAGGTGCCACAGGACCCTCTGTTGCTTTTTACAGATTCAGACTAACACGGCTACCCCTCTGATACTTTTCTCTCTCAGTATCTCACACGTGGCTATAAAATCTGGGGAGATTCCCCCCTTTCCCCTCAAATGATCAGCTCTCTTCTCTCCCCAGATTTTCCCCTGTTCTCTCCATGAGTCTGAAATGTCAATTTAAAATCTCTAATGAGGGGGATTTTCCCACCCCTTTTTGTCTGCAGTAATTTGTCCTTGTTTAGGTGGGAAATTGTTGCCCTGAGTCATTCCCCAAAACATGGCTTCCCCTGGATTGGGGATGGGATCCTGGTTCTCTGCCAGGGCCAGGAAGGGAGGAGCAAGTGTCCCCGATAGGGACTGCCCAGATTTCCACCCGGTTTCCCAATCCCACTTGCTGCCCGCTAACTACCAACACAGTTGCCCCCAGCAATCAGTTGTCAGTCACCTGCCCGTCCCCCACGGCTGCCCCCTTCCCTCATCCAGGGAGCCTTCCCTCT